TATCTTCTCTAAGCATCTCATTCTCAAGAGCCATATCATGATCATTGTCAAGGTTCTCTATCACAATTATGTTGGTGGTTGATAGCTTTTCAAGATCCTTCTTGAGCTTTTCATTCTCATTCTTGAGCTTGACATAGTCATCAAAGTTGTTGGACTCAACCACTTTCTTGCCTTTGCTACTAGAACCTTGCCCAATGCTCTCAACAATTAAGTCATCACATGATGTGGCTATATCAATCTTAACAACATTATTAGTAGCATCATGCAGCTCATTGGATAAAAACTCATGAGAAAGAACAAGATTGTCATGATTAACTTGAGATTGGTGTACTATTCTTTTAGCAAATTGTAACTAGTGGTGAGCTCATTGTGTATCTCCTCAAGTTTATCATGTTTTTCTCTAAGCTCCTTTTTAGAGGTTTTGAGCTCCTTGAGTTTAGATGACATAATTTTATTTTCTTCTCTAAGCTCATCACTAGCTTTTTCGGCTATGTCATACTTTGCTAAGAGTGAATTATTTTCAAGTTCTAGCTTCTCAATTTTAGCTCTTGTCTTTCTAATGATTTTAGTGTATTGGTTTAGTAAGTTGACAAGATCATCATAAGAAGGTGATTCAAATTCTTCATCACTATCACTACCATTCTCATCATCGCTAGCATTGTCATCACCACTATGATCATCATCTCTTTATACCTTTCATTTATCTTTGGCTATAAGGCATAGGTGTGTAGAGGATGATGGCGGAGGTGGCGGTGGAGATAGTGAAGAGCCAATCATAAGAGCGGACACCTTCTACTTCTTATTATCACTTTCATCATCGGATGAGCCACTTGATGATTCAATGTCCGTGAGCCAATCACCAACAATATAAGCCTTGCCATTCTTGTTCTTCTTGTGGTACTCTTTCCTCTTGTCATCCTTCTTCTTATATGGCTTGTTCTTCTTCTTGTCTTCATCATCATCACTTGAGTCATCTTTCTTGCCCTTGTACTTCTTCTTGAACTTGTCTTTCTTGGGTTTGGGGCATTGATGAGCTAGATGACCAAGATCTCCACAATTGTAGCAATCTATTTTGGAGATGGGCTTCCTTCTACAACTAGTGAATAATTTCTTTTTCTTGCCATCAAACTTGACACTATTCTTGTTTAACTTTTTGAGCATCTTGGCGGTTCTTCTCACCATGAGAGCAAGGCTTGCATCATCAACTTCATCATCACTTGAACTATCATGAGCAATCTTTTCTTTGCTTCTCTTCTCTTGGCTAGCCTTGAAAGCCAAATCTTTCTTCTTTGAGGATGAAGAGCCCTCTTGAGGAGTGATGTGCATGTACATCTCATGTGCATTGATCTTTTCCAATATTTGAGTTGGCATAGCGTTGGAAAGATTACCTTGATGAAGCACCATCACAATATGCCCATACTTGTCAATGGGAGGACACTCAAGATCTTTCTCACAACATCGGATGGTTGCATTTGATGAAGCACCATCACAATATGCCCATTGACCTCCTCTACAAGAACATTCAAGCGAAAATACATTTTATTAGCACTTTCACTAGGAAACATTTCAAATGAATTAAGCTTCTTCATCACAAGGTGATAGCATTCCTCACGCTCACTCTTGGTTCCCTCATGGAGCGCACAAATGTCCGACCATAGTGCATGGGCGTCTTTGTGGTTCCGCACATGGTTAAAGACGTCCTTGCAAAGGCCTCTAAAACGGGTGTTTCTAGCCTTTGCATTCCACTTCTCGTAATTTGCCTCATCACCAACAAGGTTGGCGGGGTCCTTAGGTTTTGGGAAGCCTTGAGTGGCGGCTCTATACAATCCAACATCTATAGCCTCTAGATACGCCTCCATGCGAATTTTCCAATAAGGAAAATCATCTCCCTCAAAGACGGGAGGGGGTCCATCCCCATATGACATCTTGCTCTAGGTGGTTAAGCCTAATTTAAGGAGCACGAGGCTCCGATACCAATTAAAATGATCAAGATGCCCAAAAGGGGGGGTGAATTGGGCTAATTCTATTTTTTGCAATAATTAAGCCCTACACTTAGCTCATTTCACCCCCTTGTGCCTAAAAGTGTTTCTATTGTTCTACTGCACAAAAGTTTTATACCCTAGGTTCCAATCCTACTCTAGTATGACAATTCTAAGAATGTAAAGACATGAACAAATGTAAATACTCAAAGTAAAGAGAGGGAGATGAACGCGGCGATGTTTTTCTGAGGTATCAGAGAGTCGCCACTCTCCACTAGTCCTCGTTGGAGCACCTGCGTAGGGGTGTAGCTCTTCCTTGATCGTCGCAAGGATCAAGTGCTCTCTACGGGCCGATTCTTCGACACTCTGTCACGGTGAATCACCCACAGCCGCTCACAAGACGACTTGGGTCATCCACAAGCTCCGTCAGATGATCACCAAGCTTCCAATCACCACCGAGCCATCTAGGTGATGGCGATCACCAAGAGTAACAAGCATAAACTCTCACTTGACCAAGACAAACATAATGAGAAAGGTGGATGCACACTTGCTACTCCTTATGCACTAATGAGGTCCTTAATCTTGGATTCTTAAATCTCAATCACCTCATTAGGCTCTTGCTCTCCCTTGCACTCCAAAGATGTTTCTCAGCTGAATAAATGGGCAAGAGAGCTAAATTGGATGAGTAGGAGATGTATTTATACACCCCCATTCAAAACATGACCGTTACTGTCCAACTCAGCAAACTTCGAAGTGACCGGACGCGCAGGTCAAGGTGACCGGATGCACCGGTCAGTGGCCAACGGCCACAAACACGTCAGCTATCAGACTTGACCGTTAGAGTGACTTGACGCTCAGTAGAGTCTGGTCCACCTCGATCGGACGCGTCAGGTCCGCAAATTTGGTCTCTGGACCCTTACTGATGTTGATCGGACGCTGGCTCACCAAAGTCCGATCACTTACCTGCCAGCGTTCGGTCCTTAGTCCACGCTGCTACAGTTGCGATCGTCTGCGCATCCGGTGCAATTGATTGTTCATCGTCTGGTCGATGACTGGCCCTCGGCTGCGCACTTTGTGTACTGACCGGACTCTGGAGCCAGCGTCCGCTCTCTGCTTCTTCTGCGTCCGGTCAGTAAAATGACTCCATTTACTTTCAAAATGAAATGCTTTGTGAACGAAGTTGACTCCCGACGATCTTTGGGCTGTCCTGAGCTACATAGCGCTAAGTTTGACAAGTGTGCACCACACCTAAACCAATAGACTCACCTAGGTCAAGCTACTAGTTCATGCCCTCCTTAATAGTACGGCTAAAGGAAAAACAAAGTCCTAAACCACTCCAAATGTCTCTCCAAACGCCAAATGACACTTAGAACTAGTCCGCCCTTAACTTATCGTCCATCCTTTGAAAAGCGAAACGATTTCCATCGATAGGGCATAAAAACCATAATTGCCCAATCAATCGTCATTACCATGACCTAACTCAAATTGCCTCTGTAAAACACACGTTAGTCATAGTAATCTCGTGTCATCATTAATCACCGAAATCCAACTAGGGGCCTAGATGCTTTCACTATATTTAGGGCCTATTTCGATGGAAACCTACCATACATTACCTGACTAGAAAAGCAATCCTAATCACAAGCGTCCAATAGGAGCCATGCCTGAACTTCAAGTATAAGTCGTGGCTCCCGCTCGTCCTGAACTAGCTAATGTAGCAACACTGTTCACAGGAGTTGTTTTTTTTTTCTCCTCGTAAAATGAACTAGAAACCCAAAAAACCACATTTTCAGACTCCTAGCATGGAGCCATAGCCCGAGAGAGAGGTCCTTACTCATCCAAGTTGATGAAATCCAACTCCTAGCTCTGGCAAGGCCATTGCCCAGCCTAATTACCATGATTAGTTAATTTAGTTTGATGGACTATGAGGCAAAGTCACGTAGCAATAGTTTTTCTCTTTTAACTCTTTCATTACTATGTTTTTAGCCAATCAGGTGGACGATTCTTATCTACTATCATGTGAAACTAAAATTACATGAACATATCAACAAAATAGAATACTTGTACATTAATCATTTATAGACAATACAAAGTGAGTTTCCCTCTCGTATAAGCATTTTTCGACACGGACTTGTAACCAAATAAACTTCTATTGGTTTTGCCTCACCGGACAAAACTCATCAACCTTCCAGATGAGTCCCAAATAATATTTGCGAGTCTCAAATAATACTTTTTACTAGACAAGTCACACAAGACTCCAACCAGACAAGCCCTTATTGATCTACATGATGTAAAGAGTGAAGGGAGAATAGACGAAGTAAAGGCTTAAAAATGCGTATCCTGAGATTGTGTGTGTTTATTATGAGTGAACTATTTACCAACTTCGTACTCAAAGAATAGGCACTTGAATAACCTGAGGGTACGAAGATATATCATATATTGGTGTGAAATTACCGAAACCCTCTTTTTCAGTAATAAAAACTATCCACGCGTGCACACATGAGAACAGCTTCCAAAGCCAAAACCAAACGAAAATCGTTGAAGCTAAAGCCATTTTTGGTCAGAAGCCGACAACACCAAAACGTGACTTTCTCTACATTTTCCGTTCTCTGAGAAACCCAAACCCTGCCAAAGAGGGTTAAGGCTTTATTTGGCAATCGGTATGGCAAAGTGACTCTCCTACTAAAATAAAGACGTGTGTAAAGACCAAAACCATTCCAAACAGAACTAAATTAAAATGTGAAGTGTGAAGAACATTACAAGCCAAAGCAGCAATGGTTCGTCAAAAACAAATTGCATATTGCCAGTTGCCACAGTATAATTGCTTTCAACAAAGGAAGTAAATCTAATTTCCACTGTTCCCAGTGAAGACTGTAATATTCTATGATATCTATCATTTTTAGTATGTGTGACATCAGATAGTGCTACACTGCTACTGTGCTACGCTACTCGTAAGTTCCATCTAGTTCGACACATTTGTGCATATATAACCAAAACCATCGAGAACTCCAGATGACCAGATGGTCAGCGAAATTTCTTCTTGCCAATCTCAACGAGCATGGCCAGCAGAGCCTCGCACATCTCACTTGCATCGGCCTCAGCGCTGCCCATCTTCAGCGTGGAGTAAACCATCCACGCATGGTCCAGCCTTCTCTCGGGCCTCACCACCACTGACCCAGGTACCTCGGCGTCGCGCCGTGTCACCAGCCCGTCACTCCTCTCCCCATAGCGCAGACGCAGGTGGAGGGCTGTGACCGCCATGGCTGCCGACACAGGCGCGACCACGGGGACCTTCAGAGAGGCGAGCATTGACTCGACAAAGTCGGATGTAGATAGGAAGAACCGTGGCAGGGGAAGCCATGGGAGGAGCTCGGCTTGGGCGACATGGGTCAGTGACGCGAGCACTGTGGGCGCGGTGCTGGCTTCGGTGTGGAAGGAGATGACCGGCAGCTCATCGATGGGGAGTTTGTGCTTGGAGATGAAGTCCTTTCTCTTAGCATATGTGAGGTCCTCCAAGGCCCTGATGTCACCCTGCAATTGTTCATTTGTTTTGAAGACTGAAATGGATGAGATATGAATGAACAATTTTGTGAACAAAAGATTTGACCGAGAAACAGTTCATGATAGGGACCTTTATTAGTTTGCATACGATGAGCTCCATGATCCTCCTTGTCTCCTTATCAGCAATCTGGCCTTCTCGAAGGATATCGGAGGCGACTGGAGTGCCACCATATGGGCTCTGAACCAACGCCAGGCCAGCAACCTTACCCTTGAGCTCAGACCAGTACAAGGAAAGAGCTGCAGCTGCATCAACTCCACCTTTGCTATGGCCAAGGAGCAGAACCTGCTTACCAGATCCCCAGTAGAGCTCCTCAATGTATTGTTTCAGTTCCCACGCGTTATTCTCCACTGATGCCTAGACAAAGCAAATGGTAAGTGAAAGGAATAACAGTACGAAATACTAGTACAAGCAGCAGCTGCTTCAGGACATATGAAGCAAGAATGAAACCTAGCACTAGGAAAAAAACTCTTGCATGCCACCCTTCAGCTCAATTACCTCGCTATGAATTTTCGCAATATGGCAAGCCAATCCCATTTTTGAAAAGAACCGTTTCGTATTGGTGAAGTAAAGTGGACTGTGGTTGCTAAAAAGGCCTGCATAAAGGAGTACAAACGGGATAGTAAGCAATGGCATTTAAGGATCATCCCCAGAAACTAGCTACGTTGAGAAAGATATCTCACCAGGAATAAATAAGTAAACCAGTGTATCAGGCAGGCAGTGCATGCCATTTCTGAAACATAAGGCAGCTTTTAGTATTGTCGGCCTTCTCAGAACTGATTAACATAAGGCAGTGCATGCCATTTCTAACTTAATTGGTAGTTTATGCTCAAATTTTCACACTAAAGTATTCACAAAAAAAAAAATCACACTAAAGTATTTGGAAGCATGCTACAAATACTTTCTGCAAAAAAAGTGGTAGAGTGTAATGTTTTTCTTTTTTTTGTGTCAGAGTTCACTAAAACTGGGCACAAAAAATTCACCTGATCTCATGCAAAATCTCCTTGAATCGACCTGTCCCATCAACTGAACAAAGTGATGCCCGAGTTCTTTGCAACCATCCTATATCTTCACAAGATCCCTGTAGTGTTGTCCAGAAACGATGTAAGATCCTGTGATAAAAAAATGACATCTTAGAACTAATTAGAACAAAGAAAACTGGGCTGCAACCTACACAGAGTCCTCAGACCACAAGATGCAACATGTAAGCAAATATAGAGGTCTGAACAGAGAAGACATTAACTAACCTGGTTAGTTTGGCATGCACTTCATTTGAAAACAGAATCCACTGATCTCGCACACTGAATGCCAATCTTCGTACCAGCCTGAAGCCATGTAAAAGATAGGAAGACCTGACATATGATCTAACAACACAAACAGTTGCACAGTGAATGTGGGACACAAGACAACAATGGATGTAATCGGCTTACTAGATGAAGCTATAAGAAAACTGAACCTTTCATCAATACTGGAAAATCCTTTTCTGAAAATTGTGCCTTCAGATGTTCCTTTTGTAGTCTGTTCTTTTGTAGTAGTATTACTAACAGATAATGCAAATGCCCCTTCATGAAGATATCCTGTGGTGCCAGTCAATGATCCTCCATGGCTAGCAGAGAATTGGACTCCAAGACATTGAGGAATCCAATCAACGGACCGAAGCCAATTTTCTGCTAGGATAAAGACAAACACGTAAAAAAAAAGAAAGAAAAACACAACAAAAACATCAAATTTCAGGCTTCTCTAGTTTCGAGAAGGATTTGTCTCATCAACACGTCTTATCCAGTCAAAGCCTCGGAAATTCTAACCACAATGCCCCCAAAAATAAAAGGTAATGTGTGTTTCTAAATGATAATACATCTAGGACTACTATCTAACAGAAAGTAGTCAAGCATCAAACTAGTTGTTCATATAAATATAAAGGAACTTGTAATTCAGAATCAGAAAAAGAAACAAAATGGCTAGGTGCTCTAAAATATCAGTATGCTCAAATCCCATGTAGTTTTGTGAACTAAGACGTACAAGCTCAAGTTGTTGGTACTGGTACCTATTAATTCTGTCAAGTATTGTCTTAGCTGCCAACCAAGGTTTAGGAAGCGTGAAAAATATTCATCCATCTATGTCCCCAAGCAGATGATACAGGAGAACATCACCAGTGATGGTACATTTTTGGCCTAACAAGAGAAAAAAAATCACATCAAGAGCTCAGCATGTATCAACACACGGACTCATGGACACAGCATACATAAGAGATGCTATCTCCATAAATTACCTGCATAGTAGACCACAAACTATTATTCTTTTATGTGTATACAACGCAAATACGCAAGAGAAGATCAACATCTCGGTAGGACAGGGGATAATATCCACACTGTCAACATGGCTGTGCACGAAAATCTAGTACAAGCAACCAATTGTTAACCACCGACCGATCATACATGATTTTTGTTTTTTTTATAAACTTTGAGGCAAGTTAACATTGTGCAATTGGTGTTTAAACTAACAACAATTATGCCCATTGCAAGCGGAAAAGCATTGCCATAATGCCATTGCCCAATTGCATCATAGCTACCCCTTCCAGGATCTAACACCCTCAAAAAGGAAAAAACAGTGGAGGTTTCACCGAAAAGCTATAACAAGTTGACGAAGGCAAAGCATACATTACTGCCGGCAAGGGCCCAACAAATAAGTAGTAACTTCAATCCCCGGATCAAATGAGACTAAGGAATCACGGTGACGTGATGAGGCAATGAAAACAAGGTGCATCACCCAACTCCTAGGACCTTGTTTGGTTGCACCGTATCCATCTTAATCCATACCGTATCCACTCGATCCAAATGTATTGAGGTGAATTGGAATGAAAAATCAACTAATTTTCACCTCAATGCACTTGAACACACGTGGATTGAGTTAGAGATGAGTTGTAGCCAAACAAAGCCCTAAGCAAAACCGCCAATCACACACCCAGGCATTTCCACAAGCACTTGGCCGGATGCAGTTGGTAAGTAGACTGCGCCCTGCGTGCACATCGCACGTACGTACAAGAAACAAGGCCGACGTACCTCTCCGTCCCAGCCCCAGAGGCCAGAGCAGCAGGAGGAGCTCCCTGAACGCTGCTAGGAAACCCGCCGAGCCGTTTCCTCGTATCTGCCAGGCGGCCCGGGTCGGCGAAATTAAAGCAGGAGAGCGAGCGCCTCAGAGGCTCAGACTTCCAAGTTCCAAATGGGCTTATCCAAAGCAGGCGAGAGGAGACGCGACGCGAGTCAAAAGGAGCTCGCGACGATCCGGGAGCGAGAGAGCGGAGGGATGGGACGGCCGAATGGGCTTATCCGGTCACCGTCTCACCGGTGACGCGCGCGAGGCGCCCGAGGCCGACCACACGGGAGGGCGCGCGCATGGGCGCCGCGTGGGGGGCGCGGCCGCGAGCCGTGGGCCCGTGGCACGCCATGCGTGGGGGCGCGTGCTGCTGCCCCCCAGTATTTCTGGAACGGGAGGGAGGCCCGCCAATCGCGGGCGGGCGTCCAAGCCCGACGCGCAGGGCCTGCGCGCCAGTCGTCCTTGCTCGGAGCTTATCGTCACCGCCAACAGCGGCTTCTTCTCGAATCTCGATCGCGTACGGGACTGGGTCTGGGAGGTTGGACTCTTGACTCGCACGTCGCCGTCGCCTCAACAGGCTGTTGGCATCTGGCGACTGGCGTCGGCAAGGCAGGTGCAGTCGACACGAGTGCCGGCGGCGGTGTGTTGATAACCGAACAATATGATCGGATCGTGACTCGTTGGCTTGACGTTTGAAGCTACTGACGCATCTCGGGCTGACCTGGACTCCCTGTCCGCGTGAACTTTTCGGCCTGACTTATCCAGCGTAGAATAGTATTTTTCTCTTAGAACACGTAAGCTTCAGCCGTTTATCAGCAGTGACAGAAATCATCATCCACTAGTCAAATAGTACAGCACGTATACAAAATTTCGAACCAGCCCATTTATTGGCTATCATGTTTCTTTGGCATAATTACATAATAAGTACTCCTAGAAAAGAATAACAGCACCACTCATCATAATAGCCGGTCTACAAGACAACAATGTTCTTTTATATCATTGTGCAAGATTAGTGGATCCAGTTTTATATCATTGTGCAAGATTAGTGGATCCAGAAGTCTCAACAGAGGATGTTCAGAAGCACCGGTACAAGAAATGAAACGGCAAATTTATGATCAATTCAAAGGGAATGACTGAACGAGGCATCTCGGAGCGTCAACTTCACCTCACTTCAGATGTTCAGAATCACCGATACATTAAAGGAATGAAATGGCAAATTTATGATCAATTATTCAGAGTGCGGGAGCCAAATCCCTCGAAGCTTAATGCCACTGACGCTCAAAGCCTCAAACCAAAAAGGTTCATCAGCTTCGGCAGTACTTTTCAGCGAACGAATAATGTTTTCTCAACAAATCAGCATAAGCATCATCATAAGCCAAATTTCAACGAAGCGAACAGGGCCGTGATGAGGGAATAGAGTTGCAGAACACAGATGCTGTTTTTCCATCCGGTATGCGAACAGAGTAGATGACTGGTAATACGCCAAAGCTGATGTGAAGATTTTTCTTGAAAGGATGCACAGCATGAATGAACTCACTCTAAGATCCTGCAAACTATAATGTAACCCAATTGCCGTGATCCCAGGGAAACTGAGAATATCATCAGTCATCATGATGACGACCATAACACAGTTCATAGTACGTGTATAGAGGATAACATAACAACTGGCTTAAATCTGGACAGCAGTGACATGGTGAGAGAAAATGCGTACAAGTCTGATAATGCAAATAATGCAGCCTAAAATACCAGATAGAACCATCGTTATTAAGGAGACAGATGGCTTCAGAGAGGGCAGGACAACATAAGCATATTCTTAGAAAATCAACACAAAATTGTTGCGAGTCGAGCGAAGTACATAGTCTTAGCAAGAAACAGTTTTGCCATACTTCTATAACGCAAAGGCTTGAGCTACTAAGCTAACAAAACCTGAAGAAATAACTTCAGAAGAAATCTCTGAGGGACCAAGTTCTGCGGTATAAGTGATAGGTGGCCCTCTCAAGTGAAGCCTACCGATACAACATGGAACATTGACAATGCTTCCAGCTGATAACAATTAACTAACTCAATTCATTGATGCTTTGAATAACCAGCCGGCCAATATGAAGAACATTGCCGATCGACTATTTGAACAGGCAACTCCAACAGTAATATCAACTGTAACATTATACTCTTACCCTGGTCCTCGACTTCTTGGTCTTGCCATCCGATTTCTCCCCCTTGATCTTCTTATCTTCCTGTATTTCATCAGTACCGACTTCACCATCACCCTTCATGCTCTTCTTCTTCTTCCCCTCCTCAGTCTTCCCCCTTTTAATCTTCTTGTTGTCCAAACTGGCTTCTTTCACCTCATTTTCATTTTCCAAACCACGCTTGTCCTTCTCTTTACCCTTCTTGCCAACCTTCTGGCTGTCATCCACAGAAACCGCAGTGCTCTTCCTCTTCTTTTTCTCTGTCTCCACGTGGACTTCTTCCTGCATCACAACATCCTCCTCAATCTGCTCCTTCTTATTCCTCTTCCTCTTGGCACTAATATTGGCAAATACCACTCTTCCACTGGCACCAGCATTTGCCTTCTTCTTGTCAATCTTCTTCCCGTGAGTCTCCGCTTCTGCCGCATCAATGACCTCCCCAGATCCAACAATTTCAGGCACCTCGATTTTCATACCTAACTCTGGCACAACCTGGTAAATTGGTAGGGCAACTGAATCCACAGCCTTCAGATGCAGCGCCCTAACGTTGGCCCACTTCTTTGGCACCTTCTCGACAGCCGCCTCCACCGCGGCCATCACATTGTCCACGATCTCCTCTTCCTCCATGTCCAGCCTACCCACCTTGATCCCCGAGCAGGTCCCCGACCGCAGGTACAGAAAAGCAGAGCCAAGGACCTTGCGGACCTGCTCCGGCCATCCGACGCGGGTGAAATCGACTCCAATTGGAGCCTTCTTGGTGGAGTAGAACGCCTTCCCGAGGACGCGCGGCAGCAGCGGGAGGATGGCGCGGTCGGCGACGAAGAGGTCGTGGGAGGCCGCGAGGCAGCGCCGCGACTCGTAGGGTCGGTAGTCCGTGCGGAGTGTGGAGAGCGGGATGACCTTGGAGACGGGGAGACGGTGGAGCGACTTGGACGCGTGGAGAAGGTCGGAGGAGGGAGGGGACCGCGACTTGGGGCGGTCGTCCGAGATGACGCAGACGGAGGCGCCGTCGTGCCCGACGACGGGATGCGGCAGCGGGAGGAGGTGTGGCCTGGTGCTGCGCGAGGCGGGGACGCGGCGGAGCGAGAGCTGGAGGACGACGAGGTCGTCGCGCTCGTCGGCGAGGAGGTTCGGGCGCGCCTCCGCGGCGCGCTTCTTCATCCACTTGGTGAGGGAGGCGACGGCGTCGGCCACCGTCTCTCGGGGCACCGTGTGTGGCGGCTGCGGCGGCGACATGGCGGCGGCACGAGAGGAAGAGCAGGGGGGTTTAGGGTTTGATTGATGTGCGGTGGGAAGGTTGCGTTTTTATACGACTTCACAGCATTTGCCAGGATGTCTCCCTATGGCAAGTGGGTCCAGGCTCTAGCATTTGCCGGGATGTCTCGCTATGACAAGTGGGTCTAGGGCTCCAGAGAGGACCCCAAAATTCCACAAACAGCAAAGGGAGGCGCTGTAGCGCCGGCGGCCCTGGGCCCTGGCGTGCCCGTCGCCTCTCTCCTGTTGCGGACTCGCCTGGCCAGTGCGTCGGTGGTCGCCGGAGCTAGCAAATCGAGGCGGGCGGCGCGGGGAATTGGCACAGGAGGCGGGCAAATTGGCTCGGCCGCGCGGGCAAACCCTTGCGCCGTTCTCGTGCCGTCGTGTGGCTGCCGCCTGTCGGCCGGCGTTGCCTAGGTGGATAGGCGGACAAGCGTTGCCCAGTTCCGCGCGGGACAGGCAGGTATTTGATATATGGGTAATTGAGTATTCGTATTTGCTTTTAAACTTCAATTGCACAATGCCACAATCCTCAGTTTCTTGATTTCTAGTACAATTGTTGTCAATCGGTAATACCTGTGGGTGATTTAGACGATTTTTAATGGTGGTCTTAGGAAATTCACCAGCTCTGCCACTGCACTCGTGCACCCAAAGCCACACAATCCCCTGTTCTTGATTTCGTATTTACTTAAAAACTTCAATTGCACAATGCCCACCTCTTGATTTTTAGTGCTTTTGATGTCTATATGTATGTAACATGTGGGTGATTTAGACAATTAATTGCTGGCCCTATGCGTGCAATTTCACCAATTCACCCTAGGCATGTCAGTTCATTGGCCACTCTTGTTCAAATGCATCTTCAGAGCTTCATGCATCCGGTGGTTGTTTGTTGTTGCAACTTGCAAACTACAACAGTAAAAAAATGCTTGCATTGGCTGTTCTAAAGTTTGGCTTTGTGATACTTGTTGATATTCTGGTAGTGCACTAAAAGGTTGTCTAATCAGCCCGTAAATTGTTTTAAATAGGCAGACATGGTATTTACTGATGCCATACCAAACTTTCAATTGATATATTTTGTACACTGCACTTACCAATTATAATGCGCTTATTACAAAATGAACTGTGTTAATGCTAGACATGCTACTAGCATCGCTGACCTGTGCTGAGCATTGTCCACACAATAGCCAAACAAGCCCAAGCGAACAGGGCGATTGTGTTGTTGCAGTGCTGAGCATTGTCCACACAATTGCTAGAGATCAGACTTTATTCCTAGAGGCCTTTATTCTTGATTAATCCTGATCGAAACCCGAACTTTTTAGCAAATGAGTGCCGGTAATGAGGTGTATTGATCTATGTGTTAAGCTCCTAAAATCACTTCGTATGTAGTATTTACTTTTTTTAATTATATATTTATTTGACGATAATAACTTTGTGAGTTTTAACAGGTGGTGCTTTTGGCGGAAATAGGGGGTGAGGCCTGTACCTCCTGAAAAAGGTGTATTCCCATTGGATCACTTACATGAGTGTGACTTGGTAAGGCTACATAACTTCTTCTTCAGTTACCACTGTCACTGTATACTTGTTACATGAGTAGTGATAGTAATTGTTCAAACAGGAGAAGAAAGACTATCTTTCTTGCCTGAAATCTACAGGATTCCAGTCTGAAAAATGTCGGCTGTTCTCAAAAAAGTATCTGGAATGTCGGATGGAGAGGTTAGTATACTTAGTTCTTATTGTCTATATGCTAATTTCAGATCTGTAAAAGCTATCATGATATAGGTACATGATTGTCTAAACCTAAGGGTAATTTCTGTGATCTTCGCTGTTATGTTTATGTGATATATCGGTGGTATTCGGTGGGGTCTCTGTATCTTGCTAAGCAATATCTTGGGCAAGCCCGGGTGGCTATGATGAAGTGTTGTAAACATGAATTTGTCCTGGCTGAAATGCAAAATAGACAGGGGTCCCTGGAACTAAAAAAATAGGGATAGTTTAGCTTTTGCACTTAGCATGCTACATTCTACAAAAATTATGCCCCAAAGAAGCTATGCAAATGTATTAATATGTATGAACTAATAAAGTTAAAATATCGGTAACTATCCATGTTTCTAGACAGACCTTTTGGTTGATTTTTTTTTGGGTCGAGCAACGCAGTAGAGCTGCATGTCATCTCATTAAGAAAGAAAGTACATACAAAATGTACAAAAACTAGGAGGAGGCTAGGAAAACCCCTCCCCAACGCACACCACTCACAAAACTCATAAAAAGAAACAAAACGACCACGACCAACCAACCACACTAGGCAATGGTCAGAATTAGTTCTCTTTCATGCACTAAAATGCTTTCAGCATCTTTTTTTTGGTTGGCAAATAGTTTGAGATTTATTGAACATGCTCCCCGGGCTACACTATGTTATGATCCCTTTTTCAGTTGTTGAGTGAAGTAAATGTTATTGCTACATTAGCCTACGGCAACATAGTTTGACCTCCTGGCATGTTCAGTGGTTTGCATCTTCGGGTGCAAGTGCAACACATGTGCAATGTGCACATCGAGGTCAGTGTTGGTGATTATGTGAAGCAACCACCAGCTCGCCAACCACAAGTGGTCAGCTCCTACTTTTGGTGTGTGTACTGATTTGTCTTGAGAAAGAACATTTGTTATTTATCTTGGAAATTCTTACTGGCACTAGGTTGAACGCTTACCATCTTTGATCTTTGAAATTCAGTATCTGAGCTCATAACAAGGTGTTAAAAACGTTTGCTGGCTAGCAAGATGCAGTTTTGGTTTCTTTTTCTGTTTTCTGCTGCTCTCTCCCTTATGATTTCAAATCATTGTTTCTATGCGTGGCTCTAAAATCTCTGAATTTATTTATTATACTCAGAAACTTGATGGCGAAGCAAGACATGTCAGAGCTTGGGTTCAGAACTGTGGATGAAGTGGATACATCTCCTGACAAGAACAACAAACTGGAGAACCCTCCTAATTAGCCAAAGGATTAAAAAATACTGATTGGTTTTGATGTAGCTTTTGTATGTTTCTTAATCCCGGAGATCTGTCAAGATCTGAAAATAAATAGGGGTATGATAAAAAGGATAATGGTAGTGACCAAATTTGAAATTTATCTGCTGGCTGTTTTGACATTCCTAAGGAGCAGATTATATGATTCATGTTTGATTAAGGGCTAATTAGCACTATAATGTCCTCTATATGTGTTGCTTGATAACAAAATTTTGCAATCAGTGTGTAACTGTGTTGTGCACACGTGGCATGCCAGCAACCCAAGTGGCAACTGGGAACTGACAAGGACCCATCTCTCTCGCTAGGGATGACAAGTAGGCAGATTAACATTAATCAGAAGGATTTGAACCTTCTGCAGTCTTTGCTAGGGATGCCAAGTAGACAGATTAGCACTAATAAGCAGGGTTTGAAGCTTGTGGAGTCTGATGGAAGATGGATATGGATTAGTCGTTGTGTGAACGAAGGGCAATCTAATCCGACTTAGGACATGTTTGGATTCTCTAGTGCTAATAGTTAGCAGCTAAAAATTAGTACTAGTGGATCTAAACATACCTGTTAATAGACCAACTATTAGCTAGGAAGTTGGTAACTATTAGTTCCACTAACGGGTTTGGAGGCGCTAAATAGGTGCCAGCATGTTAAACAATCTTCTGCTAATAATTAGCACTAATTGCTAGTACTAGTGGATCCAAATAAACTCCTCTTAGTTACACCACAAATTTAATGAAGAGTTAATGATTTCAAACATCAAATATGTTTAGACTTCCAATGCCTCATTTCCTTTGTGAGCTTCTTCGATATAGGGCATGCTTGGTCCTGACTCGTCTCAATATAGGGCGTTCTTCGCCTCACTGGCGCAAGAAATGAGAAGCTGCTCACTAAAGCTAGCCTAAAGAAAAAGGACGTCCAAACAAAAAGTTTAAAATGAAAAAGAGCTTGGCTCGATAAGAAGCACAAGCCTTGAAAAAAAAAGTACGAATCATAAGAGGGATTATGTTCATTATTTTCTGAACCCTCTAGTTTAGGTGGTGCACACGTACACAAGTTAGCTTCACACAAATGTTGATGGTAAACTGCTCATGTAGGTACTTTACAAATCTGGAGATGATATTTCTTTGAAAAACTTACTTCTTTATTAACTTACAGAGACCATGACATATGACCTTCTAACTGGAAGTATGCAGGACTGTATGCCATGCCCATGTATAAGTGATCTGCTCCCAGGTGGATATACATGTTAAGCTTTCTTTTGCGACAAATCAGTCATCTGGTGCTAGGTCGACATATTTTTAGTTTTTTGTTGCCATTTTGCAAGTATGATGATTGAAGTAGAACCCTAGTTCTGTATATATAATTTAGCTTTCTTTTTTTTAACTCAATTTATCTTTCTCTTTGATATGTCGCTATTAGGAATTTAGGCAATTTCATGTTAAAATTAATCCAGAAAAATATTAACAATATTAACAAATTTGTGATGACAAATATGTGCACGTGTGTGATTTTACTACTACTCAGATTAGCAGCAAATATGTTGACGAACATCATACTAATCATGGCGGAAAAGAGATTGAACTTAACCAATTTGAGAATAGAGATGTACCCTGCGGAGGGACCCATGCTCAAGGCACCGGTGGCTCCAGACCCACTCATGGTGAGTTGCTCGAAGTTACGGATCACAGTCGTTGCAGGAAGATGTACGCAGTGCCATCACTCGAACGTCCACCGGGAAGTAGACGGCCGATCCGAGGAAGAAAACAGGAAGGAGATGAAGACATTCCGATGAAGACGAAGACGGCGAGCAGTCGCGGAGACGCTCCCCAAAAACCTGATCGCCCACACACACCCGAGCAGGTGTCCCGATACGAACGACGGTTTCGGAGGCCTGCTCTTCCAAAGCTCCGTACGCGCAGAGGATGGGACGGGGAGTACTCGAGTACAACTCGACTGGAGGATGGATTGGTATG